CCCTCCTCCTCCTCCCCCTGCACACTGCCTTCTCCTTCTCCTCCCCCTTCACCCCGCTTTCACCTTCTCCTCCTCCCCCTGCACCCCACCTTTCCCTCCTCCTCCTCCCCCTGCACCCCACCTTTACCTCCTCATCCCCCCTGCACCCCAGCCCTGTCCCTTCCCCTCTGACCCTGGGCCTTGGGAGTGGAGTGCTCACTAGAATCCCTTTCCCTCAGCTGTGGTCCCCTTGGCGCCTCTGCCCGGAACCCTGAATTCTGACTGGTTCCTCCTCTGGCACCAAGTCCCCTCCACCTGGTGAGCGATCCGGGTCCTAAGGGTTGGTTTTCTCGTGGGGAAGCTCTACCCTCCTGCAACCTCCCAGCTCTGGAGGAGAAGGCTGCCCCCTTGGTCGGTGGTCACTGTGAGGACAGGCACCAGTGTTTGGCCAGGAAAGCAGGCAGGCCTCCCTGGATAGACGCACCATGTCTGGTGACACGGAGTCACAGCCGCTGGGGACACACAGGGAGGAAACCATCCACCGCTGAATGTACAGGGAGGGCACAGGGCCGTCCCAGGAAACGTGCCCAGGTCACGGGGACGTGCAGCTAAGGCATCACAGTAACTGAGATGGACACGTGTCACAAAGAAGCTGTTTTCCCACAAGCGTGACCTACACCGAGATCGCTCGGCGCCAGGCAGCCTTGGGCGCGCTGTGACATTTCTCGGGTGGGTCCTCAGGTTTGGAGGGCGGGAGGCGGGGGAGGGTGTCCTCGGGCCGCAGAAGCGCCCAGAGGGATGGGGAGGGCACGTAACCACGCCCGACGCTCTCTCCAGCATCCGGGAGGAAGGACACGCGCACGCGTGCAGGAAGCACACGGGCTCACTGCTCACGGCCACCGAGTCCGCGGCGACGCTGCATCAGAGTTCGGGTGTGAACACCTCCCCAGGCTCGAGGGTGCAAGGTGCCTGTCACGCCCGAGGGGCAGGCTTCTCAGCTCTGCCGCCAGCTCCAGGGACCCCCGCCAGCCCCGGCCAAATCCTGGGCATCTTATCCGGAGAAGGGACGGGTCAGGGGCACTGGCACATCCCACCCCCTCACTGCCAGCTGAACACCACGCCCACCGGGAGTCCTGAGTGCGAGGCCCGGGGGGCACTTACTTGATTTTGCTGAAGACGATGTCCACGTCAGTGACGGTCACATTCTTGCCATCGATGACCTGGCAATCCTTGCACAGCTTCGACCAGTTCTTGCCATGCATCTCCCGCCCGGTGGCCCTGGTGTCCCCGTGCACGGCAAAGCGCCGGAAAGCTTCCTCCAGGGCGCTGAGCTCTGGGGCCGCAGCGGCCGCCCCTTCGCCGGCACCTTCCGTCTCCAGTGACAGCCTCTTGGCCGCTCTGTCCTTTGCGGAGTCCCCTGGGGACTTGGGGGGTGTCTTGTTGGCGGCCTTGGCGGCCTTGGCCTTGCTGTCAGCCATGTTGCTAGAAGAGGAAGGGGAGAAAGGGGTCACCACGCTTCTACAGAGCCATGCGTAGGGCAGGAGGCTGGCCGCCCATGTCACAGTGGGCACTCGGGATGGGGCAGGCCCCTCGGGCATCAAGCTACTGCCAGGCACTCTGCCCCTCCCAGCGCTGGCCCCCGCCAGGCGCCCGGTGGTTGGATGAGGGCTGTCCCCAAACAAAGTCCACGGGGAAGCGCCCAATCCGGCCTCCCGTGGGCTCGGCGCCCCTCCTGTCACTCCCCTACTGGCCACTGTGTCATTGTCTCCTTCCTGGGCCACATCTGCTCGACTCTCCAGAATGATATCCTCCCAAGGGACCTGCCAGTGATGGGGAGGGAGACCCAGAACCGTGGGCTGCAGACCTAGTGCAGGCACATGGCGGGAGTTGGGAGTGTGGCAGACGTGGCCCCAGGGTGGGGACCACATGTGGGGCCCCTCATCAGGAGCCCAACGGAGGCTGCCCTGCCCTATCCACGGGTCTCTGCCTTGGTGGGGCACCTGATCCCCAAGGCCGGTGGGTCCCTGGGGGGCCCCCTCCCTGTGTCACGGCCAGCGGCCCAGACAGGAGCCTGAGGTGTCCAAGCCCCACCGAGGTGTGTGACCAAGCCCGCAGAAGTCGCTTCCCAGGGGAGCAGTGGGTGGCCGTCCGTGCCCCAGGGGGCTCGGCAAGAGCAGAGAGCCCCCAGGGCACACGCAGAGTCCTGAGCGGCAAGCATGTGGTGAGTCCTCAGTTCAGTGAGCGTGCCCTCCCAGTCTGGGCTGGGGGCCCTGGCCGGCCCAGAGGAAGCCAGGACGGGCACCTGAGGCCGGGGTCACCCATGCCCACCCGGTCAGCAAAGCCGGTGCAGGTCTGGACTGACGGCTCTCGAGGCCACCCATGCCCTCTCCTCCAGGCGGCCCCCTGTGGATGCACGGGGAGCAGACCCTCTAGGCTCCCGCAGGCCCACCCGGGGACAGGAACCCGGCGCCTGCCTTGGCAGTGCCTGCCCTCAGAGGGACCCACAGCAGAGGCCGGGTGACACCCAGTTACTTCCAGTGTTATCGCTGACCCCGTTTCTCTGTCTGAAAAAGGAGCTTCTTAGGGCGGAGGGAGGAGGAGTCACAGGCGTTCTGCGTGTCCTTTCCCATCCTTTGATAAATCCACGTGCTATATGACGAGATAATGACACGATTAGTTTGTAAAAGCCCGAGAGCTCTAGCAGAGGCTTCCTGGAATACCGAGCTGTCGAGAGAGGCCTGTCTGTGCCGACGATGGCAGCCCGGACCTGCGGGCACGGGTCTCCTGGTCACCCGAGGAGAGCCCTTACCTTGCAGGACACAAATCAGCACACAGTGGGGGTGGAGGCCCCTCACGTGTGACCAGGTGCGACCAGGGATGCCCAGGGATCACTCTGGCTGGCCAGAGACCTGGCGGTCCGAATGCCCTGCCTGCTCCCTCCATGTGAGGACTTCCCCCAGCTCAGGACCGCCCCAAGAGTTCCCTACACCCCCACGACCCCCCACTCTCTGTGAAACCCTTGAGTCTCTCTCCTTGCCCTCACCTGCTTTCCTGAAAAAAACCCAGACTGTTTGGGGATGTGTAAGAATCAGGGTGGGGAGGGGGGGAAGTGAGGAGGGGGGGGAAGTGAGGA